CTGGAATAACATTTCGGGATTTCGATTTGGGATTCCGAGGCGGCTCACTCCCGGGAAGGATGCAGAAAGCAGTGCTCTTAGATAGTGCCAGCATAGTACGCCGGTTTCTCTCCCTGTGGCCCTGAATCCTGATCAATTGTGCTTTTATCGGGGGTAAGTTTACCATCTCCACTCTTTGAGATGGGTTTTCACAGTAGTTGACAGGCGGATTAGCAAACGCAAACTTTGGAGATGTTTTAAGAGGGACGCTGCTGCCCATCCCTCGCCCTGCCTTAGTCGCCTCTTACGACACCTACGGGAGAGGAAGGGGTGGCCTATTCTATGCCGGGACTACACGGAATTTGTTTATAATAATTACAATTAAATTCAGTAGTAACAAATCAAAACATTGAATCAATCAATGAATTTTTTGTTTGGACTATTATTGGACATCTACATACATATGGTGTCTTATGGGTGGGTTAATAGTTCGTTTGTTTATATTTTCATTATAGTTGTATTGTAACAAAAAAAAACAATATTCTCGCAGTTCTACTAAGAATCAGCAAGTTGAAGTGATAAAATATCCAAACGAAACACCATAAATATACATTTAAAATATTTTCAAATATGGAAATAAATATGGAACTCGATAAATTAGGCTTTTCTTTCTTATACAGACTCACTTGATGGCAAGTGACTACCTCCGCCCATAAGCACCCCCAACATCAAACATATAACACGTGTGTTGCCGGCTTTTAAAAAAGAATATCTATACACGCGGCAGCGCTCCTAGCCAAGTTTAAAGGATAAGAAACTGGCTGCGCCGCAGCCGAATATAAATTAATTGTTTTTTTTACTTTTCGAGCTACTTTCGACTCATAATTTCTTAAATTTTAACAGATAATTATTTACATAATGCATTTATTTCACTTTGAATGTAATTCAAGCTTAATTGATTCTTAAAATTTAAGTATTTATAAAGACTTTTAAGGAGCAAATATGGCAAACACATGGCCTTTTAAGTAGCAAACATAGCAGTACCAACAAACAAGAAATTGTAATTATAAATTTATTTTATAATGTTGCATGTTCTTGTAACTTGTAAATTTTAAGATAGTGGATCTATGCTTGTTTTTCTACTTTTGTGGTTGAAAAAAAACTACACAGAATTTAACACCGATATAGATCTAAATTCTTTTTTTGGCGGAGTCGAAACAACGCGTATTTGTAATATTGAACTTGGCTCTTATTTCACATTTATGTTTTTGTTGAGTATCCATGTATCTACTCAGGTTTACAGTTAGTTCAAAACATTGCCGCGCTTTTTTTTTTTATAGTTTTTAACGTGTGTTTTTTTTTAATAAACTTACCGAGACAAAGGCATCATTGTACTATGCCATAAACTAAGTTGCCAATGTGGTGGTACACAAATACATTTAAATTGTCACAAATAAATTTCAATTGTCACAATATTTAAAAGTTTTACGGTTCTCGAGAATTTACAATTTTATTGACCGTAGTTTGTTATCTAAATTACGAGTACCTAGCACGTACCTGTATCTGGACAAATGTGTTTATGTGTAACTATTAGAGAGCGGTGGACTGTGATGAGGCGATGAAATGATGTAGACACGGAATTTAGTAGCGAAATAAATGTATTAAACAGCAAGCAAGGAACAGAACAATGATATGTGTCAAAAAATATAAAATTGAAATTACAAATAATAAGTACATTCTAAAAGTAAATGTATATAAAAAAGTATAATAATGTATAAAGAGTTTGCATCGGCCGGTCGCCAATAGTAACTTTATAAAGCAGTATTTTTTGGTTGCGAGGTGCTAGGAAACTCTGTAAATTTCTCTGTTAGTCTGTGTAATGACAGCAATGATCCATGCCTATCACAACTAGAGAAACAAGTTTTTTTTTAATAGATGATAATGGAGTTGTAACTCCGCCTGCGCCAACGATATTTGCTAACGGGGCACCAGTGAAGGATTGTAATATATATAATAATATAAAAATAAATAAAAATATTTATTTATTTACTTAAACTTCAATGTACAATTGTATTGCATCTGTTACATTTCCATTGCCGTGTGGTCGCGGCATAGAACGGGTCACCTCTTCCTTTCGATCTGTACTTAATACTACTCTAATTCACTTAAATTTTCTAAATGTCATTAAATTTCTAATGTCTCTTGAATTTATAATGTCATTGTATATTCACCAGAGGGAGACTTTGTACAAAAGTCGATTGCTTGGGCACCTCTGTCCCATTCGTGTTTCAACCGTGAAGCAGTTGTGTTTGCATGGTTGTGTTTCGGTTTGATATGGCATGAATTTACTGGGTACAGAGGAATAACACCTGAGTCCTCAGGAATGGCAACGCATGGGGGGTATCATGGGCGAAACAGTATACTCTGTTATGTCCATGGCACTGCTCATGTCTATAGGCGACGGTTACCACTTTCCATCAGGTGGGCCGTCAGTTTGTTTGCCATTCTAAGTTGTATAAAAAAAAATATTCTGCTGTGTGGTCCCGGCATAGAATAGGTCAATTCTTTCTTTCCCGTGGGTGTTGTAAGAGGCGACTATGGGAACTTAATAGTCAAGGGGTGAGGGCTAAGATGACGATGATTACATATCCATATGGAGTTATTTAAAAATGATAAAATTTTCATCGTGCCTCCGATCAAACTGTTTATAATTACTCCTCTCCATCCAAAGGTTGCCTGGAAGAGATCGCTTTTAGCGATAAGGCCGCCCATTGTTTTCTCACTGTGGGCATTTCTTGTAATTGTTTGTATTTATAATAAGTTTACTATTGTAATCTTTTAGAGGAAACAATAAAGAGTATTTATGTCTTAGGTTATGGCGACTCTACTCGCGTGAGACCAACTGAAAAGGGAGTGGTGAAAGACGCATTACAAGTGTACTCCTGGCTACATGAGGCCCTAGACTCTGAAACCAAGCCTACTATACTATTTTGGGGGCATTCTTTAGGTTAGTAAAGATTTTTATTAATACCACAAAGGTGGCAAACAAGAACAATCCGTGTGATGGTAAACGGTCACTTTAGCCTATAGACGCCTGCAACGCTAGCGATGTCACGTACGCATTGCCGACTCTGAAGACACCTTAATATATTCTTTTTGAAGAAACCAATACTGCAATTTCTAGGGAAATTGCTAACAAGGAGGTGGTTAGATCCCATTACTAACAATCCCTTCCCCCCCCCCCCAGTTACCATTTCATTTTCATCCATTAAACCCCTGCCTCATTGCTAGTAATACGGACCAGTCCCATTGCTAGCAATATACCCTGTCAGGTCGACCTCCACGTGGTCCCCCCTGGAATTCAGCACGATGGTTGCATTCCATGTGTACTCATTACAATGAGCTAACTGTATCCATTAAAAAACCCTAGTGAGTTGACATAGGACATAAACAACAAAAAAAATTTGTGGAAATAAAATATTTTTTGTGTTTTTATTTTGGATGCCCACAAAATTAATGACTCAAATTCTTAGAAAACAACGGTCTGTACAGTTCCTCATTTCTACTTTTTCCCATCGTTTCAGTACCTTTTTCAGGTAATTTATCACGTTTCGCCGAAGTCGGGAACGTTTTATACGTACAAGAATTAAAAAGATACGTTCAGGGCCACATTATCTATTTGACAGTATACAACTGCCTAGGGGCGCCCTATCGGTTAGGGGCCCCACGCCCTGACAAAAAGTTTTTTCAACGAAATATCTCTGTATAAAATTTACGTTTATATATATATATATATATATATATATATATATATATATATATATATATATATATATATATATATATATATATATATATATATATTTATACAACTTAGAATGGCAAACAAGCTAACGGCCAACCTGATGGAAAGTGGTAACCGTCGCCTACACAACTGCTTCACTTGTCGTGTCAACAAACTACTCTGTCTATAAATTACTCAATAGTACCATATCGTAATACTTATCGTTGTTTTTCCTTATATCTTAAATTATACAAATAGAATACCGAGCTTCAAAAACGGGTCAACTTTTTGACAATTAGCTGATTCGTTTTTTTTTATAATGGTCTTGATATGCTTACCACTTGCCGCCATTTTGTTCGTTCACGTTTTGCGACACGTGTTTCGTCTCTACACGAGACATTTTCATAGGCAAACTGTTCTGCGCTCGAATTACGAAAAGTCGCAGTTTGGGCGCCAACCGGTTGACACATTAATATTACCTGAAGATGCTTCGTTTAGAGGTTAAACACGTATTACAAAACGTGTGTGGACGAAATGGTGGTCGGAGATTAATGGCAAACATGGAAGGTCGTAGAACTTCTAATTATAATAATAGTGGTAAATATTCGCAAAACTGTCTGTTTGATATTGACGCCCCTTTCTACTTTGAGTTTGCTGGAATAGAACTTTTGCAGTGTTTACCTCGCCTTTGTACATTTGCTTCCCATTGTCATATTTCTGTACGTATTATGAGTGTGTACAATAAAATATAAATAAATAATTTATTTATTTTCTTAATTAACTCGTAATGGCACTAGTTAAAAAAATATTTATTTATTTATGGCAACAAACAGTCATTTACAAAATAATTACACACAACATACAGTTTTAGAACAATAGACCTAACAGTGTCAATAACAGTATTTTAAAAACATAGAGATATTATGTATGAAGTCCCATGGAAACATGCATGAAATTTAGCAACAAATCCAATGTCTAAAATCTAATATATATAAGTATCAAAGATGAAGAAGAAGAAAGAAGAAGCGTCGATTTAATTGCAACATACAAGTTTTTGAGGTGATTTACTTTTAAAAATATGAACAGGTTCATAAAACGGATTTTGATTCAAAAAATTGATAGTGTTGGTGGAAATACAATTATTACACTTTAAGAAGTACAAAAGGTGGTCTCATCGTTAAAGCAATCTCTTCCAGACAACCTTTGGGTAGAGGAGAAGAAAAAAAACTATGGTAGCTATTTGGCGCAAGAAGTGTAATAAAAAAAATAATATGTAGAGCTGAATGGAATGTCGAATATTTTTGTGTAAATTGATATCTTTTCCTTCTTTTTGAACCACTAGTTCTATGAGACGGTAACGCAGTCTCGAGGGTTGAAGGCGGCGGCCTTACACCTTCACAGCTTTAAGCGGGGTCTCGGTCTGGAACACGACAACCTGTGTGAAGCACCCGACCTGCAGAATATCATCAGGTAAGGTCAAGACAGGATTTAATTTGGTTCGAGATTTTAGATAACGTCCAAAAATGAATAAAGTCAGTATGAAGCAGGTTTGCCAGATGTAAACTTTAATGGATACACAATCTTCTTCTTCTTCCTACTCTTATCCCAATTATTATTTGGAGTCGGCGTAATATGTTTTTATCCATATTACAAAAAGATTTGGCTTTTGTTTTACGACCGGCCGCCTGCCTGACGTCAACTCTCTTTGGGAATGCATTTGTTGGTGGTTTCCGCCACCTACGGTTTGGAGGAAAGGATTGAGGAAAAAAGGAAGGGAATGTTGGAAATGCGTAAAGGAAATTGGTAAATGAGAATAATAAGGGACTTATGTGGGAAAGGAAAGGGGGACTGCAGTTGCGGAAAGAGCTGGGACACTGCAGCGGCTTGGGAGGCCGCGGTCGCATACCCGTATGCGCTTATTCTAGAATCGGACAGATTTCTAGAGAAGGACACCCTGACGCGATGATTTGATGGATACACAATTACTAAGATACAATAATATAAAATTACACATTCTTAAGGAGAGGCGTGCCATATTTTTTTTAATGGATGCTAATGGAATGGCAGCCCCGCCTGCGCTATCGGTATACGCTGACGGGGCGCCAGTGAGGGATTTATTTATTTATTTATTTAACTCTTTATTGCACCATAAATAAAAATATACAATGACAAGTGAATAATTCAAATGAAATACAGTAACATAAATACAGATTGAAATATACACATAAAGGTACAAAAGGCGGTCTTATCGCTAGGGCAATCTCTTACAGACAACCTTTAGTTAAGGGAGAACAGATAGAAAAGGGCAGGTGGCGCAAGAGTGAATCAACAATTTTCGTGCACAAAATACAAAAACATGTAATGCACAAAAATATCAAATACATATAATTTATTAAACTACTTACTATAACAATATATATACATACATACATACACATACATATATATATATATACATACATATACACATATAACATACATACAAAATACATAAACATACACATATAAATACATACATAGCACACACAAGGAAATATGACAAATCTAGTCCAAAAATTACAAAGGAGTGGAAAAGAGTAACTACAGTGAAAGAAAATGTGATTTGACTTGTCCTTTAAACGAAGCCAAGGATTGCGCACTCTGTATAGACGGTGGCAGTGAGTTCCATAGGCGCACTGCCTGAACGGAAAAGGATTTGGTGTAGTACACGGAGGTATGTGCTGGGGTTTTTAAACGGAGACTATTTGAGGTACGCGAAGCGTGACTCTGAACTTCACCGAGAAATATAAATCGCTCTTTAAGATAGTGAGGTGTAAGAGGATTGAATAGAATGGAATAAAGAAGAGATAATATATGCCAATCTCGGCGTCGACGTATTGGGAGCCACTTGAGCTGAGTGCGAAAATTAGAGATGTGGTCGTATTTACGAAGTCCAAATATAAATCTAATACACAGGTTTTGGAGACGCTCAAGTTTATTAAGTTGGTCTTCGGTGAGATCAATGTAGCAGGTATCAGCATAGTCAAGGACAGGAAGGACAAGGGAGTGAGCAAGCGCAACTCTAGTGGCCATAGGTAAAAAATTACGTAATCTTCTGAGTGAGCCCACAATCGCAAAGACCCTCCTACTAATCTCTGTTATTTGGGTGCTCCAGGATAGCGTTCTGTCAAGATATATTCCGAGATCCTTTACAAAATCTTTATAGTCCACAGATATCCCGTCGAACATTATATTAGGCAGATTTTCCCAGCAAATTCTTGAAATATAGTTGGGGCTCCCGATAATAATAGCCTGCGTTTTATTAGGGATGATATGTGAGATGAAAGGATTCAGCACGATGGTTTCCAGGGCGGACCACGTGGAGGTCGACCTAATAGGGTATATTGCTAGCAATGGTACTGATAGTCTGCATTACTAATAATCTCTTTCTTCCCCTACAAAAGCAGGTCAGTTAGCACATCATGATGAATACACCTGGAATTCAGTAAGATGGTTTCCAGGGGGGACCGCGTGGAGATCGACTCGACAGGGTACACTGGGGCCAGCCAGTGCCAGCATTGGGGCCGGTAGTCCGCATTACTTACAGTCCCTTCCCCATTATCCCCGTATTGACATAGACAAGGCACGCCATGTTGACATAGACAATCTAAATTATATAATTCATTTGTTTATTGCAGTGACTTCTTGAAGCAAATCAAGTCACGGACGCTGGAGTAGCGAGGAATCTTACAAATAAATATAAGTATATTCTGTAATAAAAACAAACTATTGAAATGCGGCGTATCATTTAATAAAATATTTTATTTGCAATAACAACCTTATTTACTTCAATTAAAGTTTAATTTCAATGTTGCGATAACAAGGCACCAGATAGGCTACGTCCATTATTTAATTTGTACAAATTGAACGCAATATATTATGGCTGTTTTTTACTGTGTCCGCGTTCTGTAATAAATCTTTTGAATTATTAAAAAGAAGGCCGCACGGTAGCCGAAGGAAAAAATAATTTATTGTCTATGCCTCCGTAGTGGGATCGTCAACAATTTTCTTGGCTTTTCGAGCATCTAATTAGTGGGTAGTTGGATAGCTAACGTACCGTGTAATGGACACTGCAATTCTTTGTTTCTTTCTGAAGTGTTTTTTTTTTATTTCATAATTTATGTTTTATTCGCAGTCAGCAGTACACGTAATATTTCTTGTATCATTGTGCACTTACTTTTTTAAATATATACAACTAATCTTTCCTGCAGCAACGCGAAGCGAAACCGTATATCTCGTTCTTGGACTTCATTTGCATAATTTAAGCTATTCTCTATAAATTCTTTCACCGTTTTTAATAATATATTAAAGAAATTCAATGCAAAATTTTATATTTTTAAAGACAAGTAATTATTACTAATATTTTTTTTAATAGGTGACAATTATGATGATTTCTAGGAAGAATAGTAAAGGGTATACAGATAACGTAGTCGTTGAGAATGGAATGGTAACCCATTCCATTCTCAACTATAAAAAACCTATGCTTCAAAGAACCACACAAAGAAGTGTTGAAGGTGCACCCAATAGGTACCTACAACCAGATCCGCTAATTTAGAAATGTATATTTCCTAAATTGACCCGACACGGAATCGACTCTCATTACACAATGCCGCACTCATTTAATTGCTTTATCTTAACAAATTATAAGGTCTCACTTCTAGACACAAGTCTCTCCATAAATGAAATAAGAAATGACGAGTGATATTGTAAAAGCAAAACAAAAAAGTTTTATAAAAAAAAATAAACAGTAAATCAAAAAAAACAGTGTAAGCACTAAACTGTTGGCAACTCCTGTTCATTAAACGAGTGTGAATCAAACATTCTTTATTTGAATTTATCCGTCTCTCGATCGCGCGCACAATGAAGCGGAAACTCTTTGTAGCACCGACCAATTTAACAACATCCCCCCTGCCCCTTGCTTTTGTATTAAGATATATACGTAAAAAGGGTCGTTGTTGGGTTCGGAAGGGATCTTTTGAATTGGTATTCTAGGTAGAGGCGACGGAAACACGTCACGTTCCAAATTTGAATTCAAAAGTCTGTAACAAAGTTATTGGTGATTTGGCATTATAATATTATGTCTAGATGTTTGTTAAAAAAATAAAAACAAAAACAAATATTATTTATAAGTACTGTATCTAACATATTTATAAAAACTAAATAATAAATACCTACCCAAATAACTAATGTCACAGATAGCTGAAGGGATATGGTAGTTGTGTTTATCGTAGTATGGTCTGTTTTACAATAACTTAATAAAAAAGTAACCAAGTTTTGTTGAATTTAATTCAGAATACTCTCTAAATGAATTTAGTAAGAAATCGAAACATGACTTAAACGAACTGACTTTTGGTCCTGTCAATTGTGCACGTCAACCATTCCATTCTCATTTAAAAAAAAAAAAAACATTGTGACAAAGAGCTTAAGTCGTATTACGTACTAAGCAGTAGATACCTAGTAAATTCTTTATCGACTAGTAAGACCACTTGGGCGTTGTTGCACGTCAATAAAGAGAAATAAGTACGAAAAAAACTATTACCGAGTGCATACTATCTATTACAAACGCCCCTACCACGGGAGCGTGAAATGGCAAGAGCTCTCGACGCGCAATCTCGACACATGTGCGGTTTCGAACGAGTATTCATTAGGCGCGGTCCCGCAGTGAAAATTTGTAAACCTCGTTCTGATAGGGGTGGGCTGATTTTTTTATTATTATTATATCGATATCGATATTTTTTCCTAATCCAGTTTTTCTGTCAGCGATAAGTAACACATTTTTTAAATTCTCATTTTATTATTGTTTATACACAATAATATTATTATATTTTATCAACTTTCGAAAGAAAGATGTTACAACTCAGAAGTCCTTATTAGTGTATCTATAAGTTTATTCCCTTATAATTTCCATTAAAAAAAAATGTATCTGGAAACATAAGTTTGAGATTACATTTTTAAATTAGTTTGTATTTTTTTTTTATGAAAATGAAAAGGGAACTAATATATAGGGAGATATATAAAATTAATCCCATATAGATCACTAATAAAACACGAAACAAAATAACTCATAACATAATTAAGATATTAATAATTTGAAATTCTTTTAGTTGTTATATAGATGTTGATTACGCAATATTTTTATTATTATGTCACTGTCGATGGGATTAAACAAGTTTTGAAAATGTATAAAGTGAGAGATGCATGTGAATATAATCTTTGGCACACAGTCCCATAAGTTACATAACCTAAAAATAAAGAGATGACACTCCAATATATCTACGCATGCTGTGTTAATGACATTGGACAAATCTGTGTATTTTGATTCCCATTACTAGACTCGAATGCCATATTTCATCATAATTCGATTCTGTCAGGGACAAACAAAAATTTTATTTGCCATTTATAAAAATAAGTATACTCATTTAATCGTCTGTTACTTTAAAGATTGGTAATTTTGTAAAAAAAAAGTAGGTTGGCAATATTCATTTATTATAGATAAATATGAAAATGAGTTTGTATGTTTATAAATCTCTTAATTCTTTAACAACCTACCTAATTATTTATTGAACAGAATATAGTATTATACTACTACAATCATGCGGATATTGTTGCAATTAAAAACCAGTACGTTATATGTTTTCACCACCTTCAAAAAGGAGAAAGGTGTCGATTTGTTTGTTTTTTTTTTGTTTTCCCCTCATACCTGCGTCATTTATAAACAGATTTGGGAAATTCTTTTTGAAAGATATACTTTCAGCATAGTTCTATAGAAATTTTACCAAATTAGTTCGGTAATTTAGTTTTTAATATACAATAACGCATTTTGGATCACTATTGAAGTAAATTTTCTTTTTGATAAATCTTAAATTACATATATTAAAGATAGTTTAGAATATTGTAGTTTATATTAATAATTTCGTATTCATAGCCTAGAACTGAATATCGATATTTAATCCCGACTCACCCCACGTAATAGTGGGGTGAAATTTAATATTCATAACAGCATGCGCTTCGCTTTGCCATTTCGCGGTCGGCAATAGTTGCAATACGAGACGGCGTGGGGCGATATTTTATTAGAAATTGTGTAAATATTTGCCTACTAATCGCTTATAGGCATTTATCTGGGACATTAAGCTTAGAAGAGTTAAGATGTAGATAGTTATGGGAGTGAATGAATGATTGAAATTGTTTGTTTCAAAGAACAATTAAAGTTAAATATGTAAAAAAAAAACACTATTTAGGTAAATTTTTAAGTAACTAAAAATGCGGAAATTTCAAAGCAAAAATGTAATAGATACCAATGACATTTAGAATTTTGGTTTGACTAGATATTATATTTTTCTATATTTCTAGAACAATCGAATTAAAGCAAAGACTATAGGTATATTGTGTAGAGATGAGGTCAATTTAAATACCTAATTTATTAATTTTTGGATATTTTAGCTTTCAAAATTCTAAACAGATTTTGTAAATAGGTAACTACTTTTATTCATTACTTTATTTACATCGCAAAGTATTCGAAAAAATATTGCTTTGCAATTTAAAAGTTACAAAGTAATATTTCTTTCAATACTTGAATAAAAAAAAACATAATTATCATATCAAATCAAGTGTTAAAATATACCTGCATATTTCATTATATTTATTAGTATCTAATAATAAATAAATTACAAAGTTGGCCTCACTGAAAATCAGCGCTGTGGTTATTGTCAAATACCACAACATATGTTGAGTGGGAGTCTCATTAGATATTCACAGAAGTACATGTTAATGGTTAACAAATGTTTACCTATTTCTATTAAAAGAACGAGTAATAAACAGCGCCTACCTACCGTTTATTCAATTCTCCGATTGAAACCCCCCATAAGCAACTAATTAATTCACATTCCTTTTAAAGGATTAAGCATGTTATAAATATCTCAATTAATGGTTTACAAAAACGCAATTACTCTACAAAATTAAATAATGTTTAATTGGAAAAACACGAATGGAAAGCCCACGGTCATTTGAGTGTGCCCGCCATTATGAAAATGAAACGCCCCGTAGGCTGCTTAACTAAATGGACAGATCTAAAAGAGATTTGAGCTACAACTTTGTAATTGAAAACAATTTCCTCATTTTTGTTTTTATTTTTAATATTAAATTGCGAGGCTCTTGGTAAATATTGTGTGCACTTTAGAAATGAAACGGTGGCTGTCGTGTTGGGTTTTATTTTTTATAAATTATAACTATATCTTTGTAACTTGTCTATATTTTTTTTTTATACAACTTAGAATGGCAAACAAGCTGACGGTCCACCTGATGGGAAGTGATAACCGTCGCCTATAGACATGAGCAGTACCATGGACATAACAGAGTATACTGTTTCGCCCATGATACCCCCCATGCGTTGCCATTCCTGAGGACACAGGTGCTATTCCTCTGTACCCAGTAAATTCACGCCATATCCCACCCTTCAAACCGAAACACAGCCATGCAAACACAACTGCTATATAGATATTGTTATCTCAGTAGATATTTAAGTTAGATATCTAATTTGTTAATTAATTAAATGTTTATTTCTCCCCATCTTGAACCGACTTCAAAAAGAAAGAGGTACTCAATTCGGTTGTATTTTTTGTATGTTTGTTAGCTCATAACTTCGTCAGTTCTGAACCGATTTGGAATTTTTTTTTTTATCTGAAAGAATATAGGTATTTACAGATTGGTCTCATAAAAACTTGATGAGATTTTTTTTGTGAGACACAGTCTTAATTTATTAATTAGGTTGGTAATTTGGTATTATAGGAATCAATTTAATGGCATACGATATAAAGTGCTAAACTTTCCCTATATATAGATATATATCAACAATGTAACGATGTGTGTCTACTGACCTCATTTTCACCTATTATCCGTCACTGGTACTCCGTCAGTCAAATAGCGCAGTGAAGCTATTATATTTTCATTTATTAAAAAAATCTAAGTGCACTGCTTAGATTTCTTTATATATCGACATAGTCGTAGAATACTGACGGATCTGACAAAGATTACATATAAAGGTCCGTCAGTATTCTACGACTATGACGATATTATACTAACAATCCAACCAGCTTCGCATGGGTAAATAGAATTTTCGAAAATAATATATAGCCTATACCTATTACTTAGGTAGATACTTATAATGTAACTTTATATATGTGAAAAAAATTTAATATATGTTGAGTAATTTTGAATTTAACCACCAGGTACAAAGAAGTAAAAATCATTAAATATTATAAAGAGAAAAAATCATTATTTTTTTTTCTTTTATAATATTTGTATCTATAGATAGGTAAGCAAGCAAGGAACTAAGGTATATCTATAAAAATTTTGTCCAATCGAAGTATCTGAGCAGAGTGACACTTAAAAAACAATATAAGTCCCATTAATAAATATTTAGGTACTTATAAGTCATCATCAAAAAGAGATTATTAACTCGAGTGTAGATGCCTACCGACGCAATGTATTTACAAATTCTGAACCAATTTCGACAATTCCTTTTTTTTAATTAAAAAGTTAAATTTTTTATCTATTTCACGAGATAGTTCTGTAGTTATTTAGTTAAAATATTAATCATTTATTGTGGAATACTAGAATTATTTTTACATATCAATATATGTATCTATATGTAACAAACGAACTATATATGCAGGCATACATATGCATAACAATAAAATATGATGTGCTACTTTAACATTCATTACTATTAAATAAGACTGAGTATACCACTATAATCTGAATCTAAATCCCTTTACTTCTCCCCTGTTTCATAAATCATAAATACACCATTATTTATTACCGATTCAATTTCACCCACCTACGTTCGTTTCATTGTTTATTTCGACGTAGATACCGCGTATATAACAAAAAATGTTCGCCGTCGTGAACTGGATGAATGCCGAGGGAAAAAATACATCTCTTGGGCCCATTCTCCTTTAAATAAAACAAAAGAGACTACAAAGACATGTCGGTAAAACAATTGAGTTGTTATCGATAGTAAACGGCGCATCACTATTCCCAGTACGTTCGATTTTGTGCTCTCACAACACTAGAGACGCAACTGAGTTCAGTGATGGGACAACTCCGCTTAAAACCGTTTGGAACGAGAGCGGCAAAAGTGGTTACATATTTATAAAATGGAATCGATTTTTAAATGAGCCAATGGTCGGGCTCGTTTTGAGAGGCGGGATGCGGTAAGCTCCACCCAGCGTTGAATGTCAGATGAATGTCTCGTGCGCTTTTTTGCTCATTCGCTCGGCGTCCGCCGACACGACCGGTCGCCGTTTAAGGTGAATCCATTATGAACTTGTAAAATTTTAATTGTATCACATTATACACTTCAATAAAGAATGCAATTACCAACCGGTAATCTCCAGACATTGACGGCATTTCGAAATGAAATTGCGGCATTGTAAACGCTTTTTTATTAATTCTTTGATATTTAAATTATTTCAATATTAAATTATGATATAATTAGTTTGTTAAAGTTAAAAGAAGATACAGAAGGACACGGTACAGTTTATCGCATTTGCTTGTATGAATTTTATTAACAGTTTGATATCTGCTCCTTAAAAGCCATCCGATTGAAATGTTGCATAGATTTGTCGGCTAACATCGGTGTTTTACGATCGCCAACACCAGCCAGCCATAAACTGAGATCTAATTCTACGAGATTGCGTCTTTTCATATATGTTTCCATACTGGCTGGCTTAAGTCTGAATTGATTATACTTTTTTATAACTGAACGACTGCCGTCTATTCTGTCAGGTAGAATGTTCGAAATATGAATTTTTAAAATATCCAGCAAGTGGGAGACTTTATACAAAAGTCGATTGCTTGGGTACCTCTGTCCTATTCATGTTTCAACCGTGAAGCAGTTGTGTTTGCATGGCTGTGTTTCAGTTTGAAGGGTGGGATATGGCGTGAATTTACTGGGTACAGAGGAATAACACCTGAGTACTCAGGAATGGCAACGCATGAGGGGTATCATGGGCGAAACAGTATACTCTGTTATGTTCATGGTACTGCCCATGTCTATAGGCGATGGTTACCACTTTCCATCAGGTGGGCCGTCAGCTTGTTTGCCATTTAAAGTTGTATAAAAAAAAAACTAAAAACTCTATTATTCTTTGTAGGTATGTACCATACTTTACTCGTAGCTACTCGCTAATCCCATATATTACTTTTTTAACCGTGTAACTTTTTAACGAGGGAATATATTTCTAACATTAATGAATTAAATACTATGTTAATTCACGTACTTTTCAGCAATTTGTTACAATATCTATATACTAAAAACTAATATTGGATAACAGACTTTTAACATATTTAAAAATGGGTATCTGACCGATATGAGCGATATCGAAACTGGTGATGATATTCCGTCATCAGTATCCTAAAGGGCCTTATTTATTTATTTTTATTTATTCATTAGTACAAATATCTGTACATGGCGGACTTAATGCTAAAAGCTCCCAGTCAACTATAGGGAAGTGTCAGAATACTCGATTCGATTATGAATAACAAATATACTTACACATGTCTAGTCCTTTTAATTACAGAACTTTCATGAATTTATATTGTATAATTATATATATATATATATATATATATATATATATATATATATATATATATATATATATATATATATATATATATATATATATATATATATATATATATATATATATTATAGGTGAAAATGGAATGGTAACCCCGGCTGCGCTAACGGTACCTATATATATATATATATATACACACACATTTTATTGGGTAGAGCAAAGATTTTTTTGTATCTGAATACAAATTTGAAACTTCCTTACTAATAACCTATAATCATTTATACATTTAATCGTTTGCCACAAGTGTTCACATGGAACAAATAATTATCTACTAATTTAATTTTACAACTGAGTAAACACACAAAAAACCGACACAAACACAAACGAAGACGTGTAGTAATCTATAACAATCAATTGACTTCACGCGAGGTTGGTAGCGCCATAAATTACGGAAATCTGGTATAGTAAACGATATGTGAAAAAAAAAAAACTTTAGAAACCCGTGTCCAGTTCACGTACACCGAGCCGGTGGAATGTCTATGGCCGTTCATTTTTTCTGATGTTCCTTTTTTAAATATTTAAATCGAATCACCCAAATTAAGTAGCCATAAACGGAATCAGCTTCCAAATTTGAATATTTCATTTGTGCTTGTACGAGCGCACGCTTTGATTTGTGTGTGGGGGCACTTAGTTGTGTGCGTGCACTAGTGAGGTTTAATAATTCGTCGATAAAGATCTTTAATCCCAAGTGCATTAGTTAGATCTTAATCGCAATCATAATTAACACGCTAAAGACGTTAAGTGTTGATGTTTATACGGGCTTCTGCTGATCATTATATTGTTGTCATTTATCTTAATGACAATGATTTTAATAAGAACAAACTGTTCATGATTTTGTTTTAAAAAAAACGGCTACTTCAGTAAAGACAATAACATAAAAGGAATCTTCAAAATCACTACAGAATTATTGAAAATTTATTATAATTATATCTATGAATGAATAAATGAATGAAAACTCTTTACTGTTCCCTTAAAAAATTATACAGATTATAAAGATTAACAATATGTGCACAAACAAAATGAGTACTTAGTTACATAAACTTAATTACATAAAAGCAAAATAAAGAGACAACAATGGGTGGCCTTATCTCTAAATAACGTTTTCTTTGAGGCAACCTTAGGGTGCAGATTTGATTTATTTATTTTTTATTAGTTTCTTTAATTTAATATTATATCAACCTATCCACTGTCCACTGCTAAACATAAGCTTTCCTCTTAGGGAGGGGGGGAGGGGGGGAAATTGCCAGTAGTTGCTGTTAGAATAGATAACCTCAATGATATTTTTTTTTTTATTATTGACAGTCTATTGAAGTGCGCGAGTCTACTAATAAAACTTGAAGACCGATGTCTTTTTCCTGTTGTTGTTATTTTATTTAGCTTTTTCCAACAGTTGCCACGCTTGGCAGGCGTGTTAGCAACTGCAGTCAATCTTTGGAAATATTTTAAAAGGGACGCTGCTGCCCATCCCTCGCCCTCTCTTTATATAGTCTCCCTTTATGTAGCCTATTCTATGCCGGAACCGTATGCCGAACTCACATATCAACCTATAGTGTCTGTTATTTGATATTAAATTAATTAATTGGCTACATAGATCTTACAACACGATGAAAACTATCGATAACATTTAATAAAACGTATCACATCACTACACCTTTGTCGCAGCGCACATCGCGTTGATAAGGAAACATTTTAAATTAGTAGAAGAGAAAAAATATTATAAAATTTATTTTTTATTTATATTTTATCACGCTCACACAAAACGGGTAGCCCGCTACCAGCGCGCACCGATATAAATTATATCATTTTTCACAGCGACAAGCCTAACGGACGTAAAAAATGACGTTCCATTGAGTTCCAAGTTTGAAAAGTTTTGCCGCGCTTTTTATATGTTTCCGGGCGGCGGGATTCCATTGTAGGGACTAATAGTATCGATACGTAGTCCGAATCGATTAAACGATACATCGCTCGGTTGGTTGGTACTATTTTAATCGGTTTTTCTCAAAACGTAGCGTTGGAATATGGAATTATCAATATGCGCGAGTTATGAATCAGTGTTGTAGAGGTGACCTTACTGTGTCGGTCTTTTTATGATTATCGATTGTCAACCTAGTTGGTATTCTGGGTGGGGGGAAAGGGATTGTTAGTAATGAGATTACTAGCAATATACTCTATTTTTTTTATGGATAATAATGGAATGGTAACCCCGTCTGCGCTATCGGTATACACCAGCTGAGCACCAGTGAAGGATGATAGGTGAGAATGAAGCAGGTCAGTTAGCCCATCGTCACGAATTCAACAAGAATTGTTCACTATGGTTTCCAGGGGGAACCACGTGGAGGTCGACCTAATAGGACATATTGCTAGTAATGGAGCTGTCAAACTCCATTACTACCAACAGCTAACAATCCCTCCCCCCCCCCCCCCATTAGAAATATGTAAAAAAGTAGCATCCAATATAGTATGTATATATTTCATAATGATTGGTTAAAACTCTAAGAGGTAAAGAACAAACAAACAAACAAACACACTTTCACATTTATAATATTAATAAAGATAAAAAAAAGCCAGTCGTCAACGTGTGAACACGGAACCTTTACTACAGTCACTCATCGTAACTTGACCTTTAGTTTGACGTTTGACCGTTAACCGTGTACCACTGAAATGATACGAATAGAGTCGACAAGTTAATCATAAGAACTTACGCATGGAGGGTATCATGGGCGAAACAGTATACTCTGTTATGTGCATGGTACTGCTCATGTCTATAGGCGACGGTTACCACTTTCCATCAGGTGGGCCGTCAGCTTGTTTACCATTCTAAGTTGTAAGTATATAAAAAAAAAATTTCGCAGTTTGAAATTTAATCTTGTAAATGTGTCATCATCATCATCATATCATATCAGTTATTACCTAACTGTCCGCTGTTGAACGTAAGCCTCCCTTTTGTGGGGTTTTGCCAGTAGTTGCCAAGCTTGGCAGACGGATTGGCAACCGCAGTTAGACTTTGGAGATGTTTGAGGAGGAATGCTGCTGCCCATCCCTCTACCTTTTTAGTTGCCTCTTACGACATCCGCGGTAAAGGAAAAGTTAGCCTAGTCTCTGTCACACGGCATATAATGTATACATACAATCAGTTAACGTATCCAGAAATATTTATTTTATATATATATATATATATATATATATATATTCATTATTGTTATGCATGACAGGTATTATTGTTTTAATTCTTTTATTTAATATTGTAAATATGAAAATTTATTTATTAATTTTTGATTCCTTAACGGTTTAATTAATTGAATTAAAACAGTAAACCATAGACCTTAGATTATTATCTAATTATAATATATAATATAATCTGGAAATGTAACTTAAAAACTGGAATAGATCTGGTACAGAATGGTCACGAAACTATTTTT